TGCAGCCCGGCGTTTCAGAAACAACTGGCTTGTAATATCACTTTCCCAATAATACCGATAAAAAAAAAAAAGTAAAAGTAAAGCTATCCCTGTAACAGGACGTAAAGGCCCATATGGTTGTGAGACGTTGAGGGTCCCACATTATCTAAACAGTCGGCTCAAAGATGGCGGTAAGGTTGTCAGCCTTACGCGCCGGCCGCGCTTTACTCCCCAGGACAATTATTTAATTATTTCCTGGTATTCATTTCTGTTAGAGGCTGAGTCGACCCCAGGGCCATAGTGCGGCCGGAAGGATTAGGTCAATTGAAAAAATCCAATTACCTCATCGGGACTTGAACCCGCGACATTCCCGCTTGTAGCATAGGGAATACGCGATACAGTTCCTAATATCTTCTTGTACATTGCATTGCATTGCTCAGACTTCTCACAAACAGCGATAAGTGCATTTCCTAGGACTTGAAAGTAGACTCATAAACTGTACATTCTGTACAGTAATTTGATTACGAATTTTTATTTTTATTTGTATCTCCTATTTGATCCTATGGTCTTCAACTCTGGGGATGTGCAAAGCCGTCGACAAGCAATCTCATCCAGAGATTCCAAGCAAAAACACTAAGGGCAATTGCAGACGCGCCATGGTATGTGAGCAACCTTACACTCCATAACGACCTAAAGATACCCTTCGTCAAAAGTGAAATACAATGAACGGCTGAAAGGCACAAGAACCAAACTGTAAACCATGACAACGAATTAATAGAAGAGCTATACACCAACGGTCCAGTGACAAGAAGACTGAACAGAACATGGCCCCAAGACACCATCAATCAAAGGAATAGACTACATGTAGGAGAAACATCACTGAATGTTTCCCTTGCAAGCTAACCACCCACAACACATTTACTTAATACTATGTAATGATGTAGATTGTAAAGAAGCATAATAATAATAATAATAATAATAATAATAATAATAATAAATTATATCTAAAACATTTTTTAGAGTGTGTGGTCATCAAAGAGTGGCATGTTCATTACGTCATCATTTAACACTTGACGTTTTATTTTCAACATATGACGTGAACAAAAATCGCCATTCAGGAAATCACACTGAATACACAACATTTTTTTTTCGTAAGGTTCCCTGCTCAAGGTATGACGTATCCTCACAGATGTTTTAGAAAAGCAATACACCGCAGCCAGCTGCGAGCCACATGCGAAAGACAAAGATAGCGAATACCTAGGCAGGTAGGGGAAGAGGCAGCAGGCGAATGGAAAAGTACCAGCAGACGTGAGCGTACAAATATAGACTTACGCATGTACAATAATGTTGTAATTAACATAAAAATGGGCGTGCATACGCATGTAGTTGGCTTAAGTGGGATTAATTAATTGACATTGTACTTCAAAGCGTATGGAGGTGATGATGATGATGATTGCGAAGAATGTTAAATTCATTCAAGCAAGCGTGCCAAGTACCGTTTTCAACCTGCTACAAAATTTTGTTCACAAATGCAAAAGCGAAACTTCCGAGCGGATGAAATGTAGATACGACTCTTCTCTGTATCAAAATTTCACTTACACACGACATGTATGAGTAGTGCTGAATCTTCTGTGAAATAAAAAATACCAACATAAAAGAAAAATGAACCAATTTCTTAAAAAATGACGATAGTTTTTAATCGAAAGCACCAAAGCTTATGCCTCCTTTAAGCTACATAATTACATCATACTGCCTTCCATCCAAGTGTCCTGGATTTGATTCCAAGGCAAAAAAAAATCCTCCAATCGATTCATTCCTCCAAAGAAATTCTTCGGAAATATTTGTATGGAATATATGAAGTACAGTAAGTTCTGTAAATTTGTGAAACATGAAGTTGTCCCTGTGTGTAATTAAGTGCCATGCCACGAAGATGAATGACAGGAGGTATAGCTCTACATATTCTTAACATCGGAACTAATTGGGAGTGGTCTGCTTTACGTCCCAGTGTTTTTATTCTACGGGGAAGAACCCCCCACCGGTATCTATCAGACAGGAGGCTGGCTGGGCCCCAGAGCCCGTCTGAACACTAGATAAAATAAAAATCTCTTGCTCCTGCCGGGAATTAATCTTTAGATTGCTCAGTTTCCAGCTCGTTACACATTCGCCATACTGACTGATATATTCCGCCCCTAGAATTTGTGAAAGGGGATCATATATTTGCACCCAACACGATTTCAAATTTCCCATTGAAGCCTGTACAGGCATTACCCAACCTGCGGGTAAAGAAGGTCAATTTCAAAGAAAACGCCCACACAGTATCGATTCACTGTGGTTCAAGAAGTCGGTTTGTGATGCAGAACATAGAGCGTCCCCTCTAGAACGAAGTAATTCAGCGTGAACTTGTGGAGGGGAGTATGTATATCTGTTCACGCGACTGGTGCGTGATACGCAGTTGGCCGTATGCCTTGTGTGAGCGTTAGCGTGTATGTGGATGCAACTGAACATCAACTGGTTGAATTCCATATGAAGGATTTGTGAATTGCACAAATTATACAAAAGCAGAACTGTTGCTGTGGAAAAATACTCGTACAGCAAATTATCACAATTTTTTAATCATAATAAATCAACGAAACAAAATATGCGCGTCGCTTGTCACTGTTTTTCTGTAAACACAGTCTCTTGTTAAAGTGAGAGTTTTGTGTGAATGAAGACTGAAAACATTCTTTTGAAATATGTGTACTGAGCAATAGAAATTTACCAGCATACGTGAAACTTCTTTTATGTACACAAAGTACATCAAAAGTGTGTTATTAGCAACGTGTACAGTGGCTCATACGAGTTACATGGCAATATCTATAACGCTCAGAAATTGTCAGCTAATCCTTTATTTAAGAAAAAACCAAATTCAGAGACAAAAAACGGCTGTTTCAACGCCGTAGTGGTACGCTAAGTAACAGTGTAATAAAGTGCTGTGATAAGAACAGTATTTCAACAGAGAAAATTAAAGGATGGCTATCCTAAGGCAAAACAGTACGTACTGGGTTTTACCTATGAAGAAGGATTTCAAAGTTCCCCTACATCTACTTTCACTGAACAATATACCCGGTAAGAATCACTGCCATGATTGATGTCACCAAATAGTACCAATTAGGTTACAATCATGGGTCAGTAGTGTGGCAGCGGCGACAGTTGCCGAAGCAGAAGGAACTGTAATATTAGTAACATTATTGGGGGGTGAAGTCCAGCTGAGTCCACTCGGCACGGCGGCCACTGATTGGCCTATTGTAGGCTGCCCCGGTTGATTATGATGATGGAGAATTTGGTGGAATGAAGATTGGCAGGGGTAACCGAAGTACTCGGAGAATACCCGCCCCAGCGCCACTTTGTCCACCACAAATCCCACTTGACCAGACCTGGGATTGAACCCGGGCCGTCGCGGTGGGAAGCCAGCGACTATCCGCTTGAGCTATGGTGCGGCCCATATTAGTAACATTAGTAGTAATAGTAAATAAATAAATAAATTAATAATAATAATAATAATAATAATGGAGCCGGGATAGCGCAGTCAGTAGNTATATATCTATTATTATTATTATTATTATTATTATTATTATTATTATTATTATTATTATTATTATTATTATTATTATTATTATTTTATTGCTAGTGGGGTGGGACTAAATCCCTTGTACTGCGGTAACTTCTGGCCTATTGTGCCAGCCCCAGATGATAGGTGAGGGTGATTGTGGAGCAATTGTTGGAATGAAGATTGACAGGGGAAACCGAAGTACTCGGAGAAAACCCGCCCCAGCGCCACTTTGTCCACCACAAATTCCACTTGACCAGACTCGGGATCGAACCCGGGCCGCCGCAATGGGAAGCCAGCGACTAACCACTTGAGCTATGGCGCGGCTTATAATAATAATAATAATAATAATATAAAGCTTTTAAGCACGACATCATGAATACCTGCAGGAGGGACATTTTTAATCTCCACACCAGGGGGAAGTGAGTGGCCAAATTGGGGCCCCTTGGAGCATGATAGGCCCAAGGCTCCTCAGGAGATTGTGGAAAAGAGAGAAATGCTAATCCCAGTTGGGAATTACTCCCCTGTCGTCGAGGCAGTAGTCTGTGCCATACTGAGCTACCCCCGCTCCTAACAACAGTAATAATAATAGCAACAACAATGTACCAAATGAACTGGTGCAGCAGTCACGCTCAACACTCGCATTAGGAAGGGTTTTCGATGTTATTATTTAATGATGCCGTCAGTTTCGAGGCCATACAGCATCAGTATTCGGGAAAGGGTGATTTCGAATCTCGGTCGGGACACCTGTTACCCTGATTAAGGGTCTTTGTGATTTTCCTTAGTGCCTCCCACAAAATGCCAGGATAGCACCTCCCTTAGGACACATATAAGTTAAACCTATTTTAATCAAGCATATATCATTAAATAATTTTAACAGTGGTCACTGAGCAACAATAAGAAAGTACATACATATTTTTATCAGTCAAATGCAAATGACAGTAAACATACATGAACCAAATAAAGCGAAGAAGTAATTTATATCTACTTCACTATGAAACAGTGTGATCATATTCCAAAATGTCATGCAAGTTTCTTGCCCTGTAATGTTGTCAAAGTAATGCAAAATGAAATAATTTCAGATATTTTTAATAAGTAACTGCTTCATCAAAGCTAACATCAGAAATCTAATTAATTGTACAGCAGATGGGAAAAATTAATGCACAGTACCTTCCTAAGGAATTCCAGTGTAGGAAATGTCAGAAGTCAGGTTTAGGTAACTTAGCCAAAGAGGGATGTTATTAAATTTTTTAATTATTCTGGGTTTTATAATACTACAGGAACAAGTACAACAAGACTGCTTCTTCCTCAAAAAGAAAATAAGTCCAGTTAATTTGGGCCTCTGTTAAATAGTTATAAATGGAGATTTTGTTTTGTAGGTCTTGGGCAGAGTGTCTTTATTCTCCAGAATAATCAAACTGTGTGTTCTGTTGCAGGAGGTGTCAAGATGGCTTGTGGCTCTGTTGTGTTGGCGGTTCTCCTGTGGACCTCACTCCAATCTGGAATACAGTTTACTATGACGTCTCCCATTGACATACAAGTACCTATCTTATCTAGAAACTATGATGCCTACATCAACTCTTCTGCAGGTATATAACGCAGATATAATTCTTGTTGTTAGTACATTATATCAAGAGTGTATGACTTCTCTTCTGATAGTTCACATATAGGAACAACAGATGGCAGGAGTTGTATATTTTCCCATAATCATTTTTTTTTTCGTTTTTGCACAGATTCCATTGTAGCTGGTAGGAGTGAGGGTGGAAATAAAAATGATGGGAAAGGATTAATATTTACCAAACAGATCTATAGCTGTGCTTCTGTTAGCCTCTCCTCCTCTCTATCCACAGCTGCTCTTATTTTCCCCACCCCCTCTTCCAATGTTTTGTAGGCCAGAGGCCACCATAATATCATGACATGGTAATTAACGACCATATCAGAGCATCTTCAGTTTTACAGCTCTTTACAAATCAGTAGCTCTTGAATGATACTACTAATTTCAGGCATAATATATAAATAGTATTTCAGATTTTGGTATACTCATGTGACTGCATTTAAAACATTGTGTAATCTGATGATATATTTCTTTGTTCTGATTTTGTCAGTATTTATAACTGTTATTGTTGTCAGATCACAGAATACAGATATACTTTACTGAATTTTGTCTTAATTGCATTCATCAAGAACTGGATGGATATCCATGGTATACAAAACATGTTTAGTCTTATGAAGCATTGCTTGAGCACTGCAAGATGCTAAATTAAATCTAAGATCTGAAAAGAAATTAATTTTATTGTATGCTTCTCAGAATGAACCATTTTGAAGCCAGAAGTGCATCTATATAGTATAGAAATTGTCAGTTCCTGCCTCACAGAAAACAATGCAAAGGCAGTTGATTAATTAATGGTGTTAAAGAAATAGCCTTTGTTTATTGTGAGAACCACACAAATTCACTCTGTGGGCAAAATATATAGATTCTGAATTTCAAAGAAAATGGTGTGTGCGTGTGCGCATACACCAGTATGCTTTAAATGGCTAATGTAGTGTTTGGGTGGATTGTTTGTTGTAATGATATTTTTCTTCCCTTAGGTTGGCCAGTCTTGTACCAACAGCAGTTAAAACACTCCATTCAGAAAAGGGCAAAGATCTCAGGGCTGCCTCATGTTGATGATGATGCACTCAACACGTATGTGAAATTCATTGAATCAAATCTAGGCCGTGAGACTCGAATGGAGACCAGTTTGATCAGGTCAAACACAAAGGTTCAGCAGAAAACTCCCCAACATGGTCAGCTAATTGCATCTTCTCCTTCTGCAGAAGCTCTGAGACATGGCAAGGATGCACTCATAGCAACCAAAGCATCACTCTACATATCACATAAACATTGCCAGTGGTAAGAATGTTAATACTGATGCAGAAAATGATATTAAAAATTTAGCAAGTAAAATCTGAAACAGCAGCTAGAACCAAAGACGACCAACATCTACACAGCGTAGAATGTAGGCATGTATTGAATAAGAAAATTCAAAATTTACACGCACGACATCTTTATCTTGAAACATCAAGCAGTAGCTCCTCTGTTGATAACAGAGATAATTTCCATGTTTTTTATGCTTCTTACATTGGGTTCTATTTTTATAATGAGGTCTGCTTCACTTACTTTATCAGACTTATTTGTTGAAAGTAAAAAGTAAATTTGTCCCTCTGCTTAATTTACCACAGCAATATTGATATGAATGATGTTTTGGATATATTACTGCACACATTCTGAACTTTAGCTCCAGGTAGTAGTGAATGGTCAACTTCATACATTCTGGAGAAAGGGCCCCTAGCACCTATTAGGTAGGAGGCTGGGTGGACCACAGAGCCTGTTACAGCAAACAATGGCCCAGAGCTAGTCACTATACTAACTGAGCTATCCAGGCCCGTTATAAAACCTGATGAAATTACACTCTCGAGAACATTTAGTTAGAAACACCACAATATTTCCAGAACACATGGCTCAAATATAATTTAATTTAACCATTATGATAACCAAATTAAACCTTTTTTATTCAATTATAGTTTACTGTTTAATATATCAGGGATCATATATGGAACTATTAACTGAATTTCTTTTCTGTGTAGCATGTTTTGTCCTCAAGAGAAGACTGCCCCCAGTTACAGAGGGTAGCTACAAATATACTGATTAGCAGTTTCGGACAAATGACAATGAGTGGCCCTCCAGCATGTGGATTGGGTGGGGGTCTAAGAATCCCTCAACATAAGATTCTTGTATGGCAGTGTGTAGATGAGAGGGTAGTATCAAAATGGATCTTAAGAAAATGAGATGTGATAGTGTGGACTAGATTCTTCTGGCTGAGGATATGGTTTTTGTGAATATGGTAATGAACTTTTTGGTTCCATAAAGGGTGAATTTTTTGAGTATCTGAGTTACTGTCGGTTTGTTATACAAGGGACCAGAAATTGCATTGTCTTAATGTTTGTTCACATTTTCGATTTTGCAGGTATGGTCTTGATGGTGATGAATGTGGTGCCTTTGTAATGTCAATGAAGATGAACAGAACGTCTCTTGGAGACAGATGTGCAGCTCAGTATAGTAAGAATGCAGATTGCTCTGGCAGGTACCGTGCTATTGATGGCTCATGCAACCATGTAAATGATAAGACTTGGGGCATGGTCCATACCAGCTACCTCAGACTTTTGGCACCTCAGTATGCTGATGGTATGTACACAGTAATGGCTTTCTGTTCTTTTCTTAGATATCCTTCACAATAATGAATACAGAATTTTAATCAGAGCTTTTGAACGGAAAAGACCGCTTAAGAGACCCAGACACAAATGAGAGCATAATACTGAAGTGGATCATGAAGAAATAGGATGTGAGAATGTGAACTGAATTTGTGTAGTTTCAGATAGCATAGCAGCATGAACCTAGATGATGAGATTTGAGGTTTTCATAGTGGTAAGGTATAACATATGATCTTGTGGATTATGATAACATGTGGTTTTATAGGTGGTTACCAGTATTTTGGAACCTTGTTGTCTCTATGGCCACAGTAGAAGACAGAGGTAACAGGTCCCTGAAAAAGTTTGAAACCACTGTGAGGTTAAAATAACTGTACAAAAAGTTGATATTTCAAGGTTATGGTTTCCAACACATGAAAAGTGTACCCCTCATACCAGCATGGGATGTTCTGGGAAAATTGTATAGTAAAACAATTGATTTTAATTCTCAAAATATCAGAGAGCTGTTTCTTAATTCTGTGCATTTGCCAGATCTTGATAAATATTAATAACTGATAAAAACTAAAATTTGTTGGTTTTGAAAATGAAAAACTGAAAGAGCTGTTCTTTATACACACCAAAATTAATAAGGGCACCACATGAAGTCATTGCCAGGCTTCAGGGTGCGTCATCATGTAAAGTTTTGAAACCGCTGCTCTAAGTAAATATTCTTACATTTTCAGTTACTCACTAATGTATTTAGAATTGAACAAAATCATTCCTACTTATTCATCATGGTTCAACATTTATGTTTTGTTTTTCAAACAGAGATTCATATGATAACATGAGTGGAAGAAAGCTTTTCACACATGCTTGCAAATGCACCTGTAATTGGCATCCAGAATATCCACAGTAAACTGGGAAATTAAATCATTCTAATTTATAAAGAGAAATTTCCTATAACAAGCAGGTCTTCTGTCTTGTGTCTTACATCAAAACAAACTTTTATTTTCGGAACACCATATAGGTAAAGCTGAAGTTGTACCTGTTGTCCCATTCAGTGGAGACCTATGGGTGACTGGAGGTACAGATCCAAGTATTCTTATCCACAACACTAGAGAAGAGTGAGTGATCACCTTCCCACCCTGGCCATTTCACCCTCAATGAAAGAGCCCTCCAGTACCAATTGGATAGGGACTGAATGAGCCCCAAAGCCGATTTGGGTGCTCTGGAAAAGAGAAAAATCTCTTGCCTGTGCTGGAAATTAACCCCCATTTTTCAGCTGCCCAGCCTGTAGACCATAATACTCGTAATACAGACTGAGATATCCTGGTCCCCACACTCAATATAGACTCATGACAACATTTTTTAGTATGGATATAAGAGCATAGCATGCACTGAAATTAATGCTTCATCATATTGAACTATTAAAATCAAGAACCATGAGTTGTGTGAAATAACTTTTTATGTTGCATGAAACTACTGGAATTTAGTGATTCCACTATTAAGGGATTCTTAGCAACACAGTTTTGCTATACAAGAAAAAACATTTCTTTATGAGATTGTTTTCATGAAAGTACTTGAAAGGAAGTTCTTAAAATTAAGCTCATTAAAGGTTTCACATATGGAAGTACAAGAATTTATACTTGGTTAGTTTGTGGACTCTTTGCTTGATGGAAGTGTCAGCTTTGTTCAGTATGTTCATTTTGTGAGTTTTTATAATTCATGTCTGCATTTAGAAGAGTAAAATAATTATTAAGTAACAATAACAAGATCCTTATGTGATGATTGAAACCCACTTCTTTTAATCTGGAACTGCATGCAGACCCCTGTTCAGGACTACACCTCTGGTTTTATATGTCTGTGTTTAATGTGAAACTTTTACTGCTTAAATTTTACAGGCATTCAGGAGCCACGAAAACCAGTGAAAGGAAAATCTCTTCCTTCTGCTCGCCTTGTCAGTACTGGTGTGATTAGGGACAGGGACTCAGCAGACAACAGCAGAACAATGAGTTTAGTTCAGTGGACAGAATTCATTGAGCATGACCTTGTCTTCACCCCTGTCATGAAGATGGGTAAGTCCCTACATCGTTGGAAATAGGAATATTTATTATTTTAACACAATATCTTACTAAGATTCAAATTTACCATATGTATTGCTACTAGAAGTACCCATTGCTTGCCCACATCCTTCTTAAAATGAATTATACTGAAGTAATTAATTTTTTTCTTAAATATACACTCATTTGCCAGTTTTGCATTGTTTACCGCTGTAAAGCTACACAGTGATTCTTTTAGAAGAACAAGTTATGGGTGACTACATGGCTACCATCCAGACCACAGAATGAGAGAGAGAGAGAGGTCATAGTCCAGAGAAGTTAATGTTATTCTGTATATTGTAACGTGTTTGGAATCCAGAAGAGTCACTTCCATAGTAACGCTAGAACAGACCGTTGCATAGGTAGCGACAATAGCGGTATTGTAGCCCCAACAGTTGGCCGTTGCATAGGTATTGCAGTATGAACAAAGCCTATCCCTGGTGATAAACAACAGAGGGTCATTTGCATAGCAGTGGCTGAGGTTATAAAAAGGGGTTGAATGCATTCATGAGACAGCCTCAGGACAGATGCCGAGAGATACAGAAGACAGTCTTCAGGAAGCTGCCGCTGAAGAAAGTTGAAATATAGCAGCTGACAGTGGAACAAGAATTAATTATAACAGCGAAACAGTGGATAGTGCTAATAATTGTAAAGCGTGTGATTGTGCAAGTGAAGCACAATAAAGATTCAAGATTTGTCGCATAACACACAAAAAACATGTAACAATATTTAACATATATACAAGCCAAAAGCTTGCCACTGTGTTATTATTTTGTCATTTTTCTCAAAAACAAAAAAAAAAAAAAGAAACAAACTCCATAGCTTTAGTATGCAAGCGAACTGTACTGACCGAGCAACCACCACTTGTTGGCAAAGTGAGTGCCAACTTAAGTGGATAGAGGGTGTCACGTGCTAAGTGCAACAAATCCACATGACCGTTAATATCGGTTTTCTAGACCGGGGCTGTTACTTTTCCATTCATGTAGCTCCTCAGTTATCCTCACAAGGTTGAGTGGACCCCGTTCCAGACCTACTACTTCTCAGAAAATCTGGTAGTGGCAGGAATCGAACCCAGACCTCTGGATCTGTAGCCAGGAACTCTGACCGCTATACCACAGAGGTGGTCTCTTTACATAATTGTCATTGGCAGGTGGTAGCTGGGGAAGTGCATGGAATTGTCAGCAATGTAGGCTAAGCCCCTGCCAGAAACAGTTTTCCTTCCACTGCTGATAAGCTTGCATACTGAATGTGATCATGATTACATTGAATAAGATGGTTAAGTGGAAGCGGTGTCTGCAGAATGTAGCTAGAGATAGCAGTGGTTTATTTTGAAGCTTCTGCCTGTTTGCCAAGAAACATTTCTTTTAGATAGCAACACCTCTTAATGTATGTTGTTATCTCGTATTTTTCAAGTGACTGATGTCAGATAATTTTGACAAAGTTTTTTTAGCATTGTCTCATTGAAATTCAAGAGGCTTAATGATAGTTTAATATACAGGTCCAATATACTGCCAACTGTAATCAAATCCTCCTGCTGAAGAACTAAAGTGTAGTGTAGTCACAGCTTAACACATCTGTATGTGTCTTATATGTAAGGTCATTTTCATAAGGCTTTGGACAAAGTCTGTAAGTTGAATTCTGGTACGATGAAAATGTTGTTGATGATTAATGATTATAATTGTAGATATTATGAGAATATTTTACTCAAACCTGAATTCCCCTGTTACAGTAATCATGTAAATATTGCTATAACACATTAAATTACAATTTCCTTTCTACAGTATCATAAACTTACCCATATTTTATGTTGGGTTTCAGTGCACAGTGGCAATTCCATCATGTGCTGTAGGCAAGATGGAAGTTTCCTGGCACCTCGCTACATCCACCCAGCTTGCATGCCAATCACTGTTCTCAACAATGACCCATTCTACTCAAAGTATCGGCAGCGTTGTATGAACTACGTTCGTTCTCTGAGAGCCATGAGGCCTGATTGCCATTTTGGTCCTGCAGAGCAAGTGAGCATTGTTTTATATAATTAATTATTTTGTGTTATTTAAAAAACAGCCAAAAGTTGTTCTGTTACATTGTGGATCATAACTAACCAAATCCAGGGAGCAGAGCCCTTCTTGCAAAGCTAATAATCACTCACCTACTCCTGAAATTCTCCAAGTTTTATTGAATCCGAAGGCTCATTGCCACAAATACATAGTAACAGTCCACATAAGTAAAGTAGTTCATGTATAATGCTGGCTGTGCCTTCTGAAGGGTCTGCAGTATCTTTGAATTAAAGTTTATAATAGTCTTCCAAGCAATATAAAACAGTTGTCCAGGAATAACAATCAATTTAAGAAGGCATTATTACAGTTTCTTCATTTACATTCATTTTATAATATTTTCACGTGCCGGGTATGTCACACAACAAATAAATTCACGTGGGTCTCGGATTTGGCGAATCTTTATTGGACACTCAACCTTACACACCTTACAATTGTTATCACCTCGACTGTATTCTGCAGCGGATATCTTTCAACTGTGTTGTATGGCAACTAGGTTCCAACGGTCTTGTATGGTGACTTGGTTCCAACTGTGTTGTTCTGTGGCTCTCGGCTTATGTGGGTGTTCTGAGGACTCAGTAGAGGACACCTCTCGCCAAGGTTCGGTCTCACGTGTTTGGCAATCCATTGCTTTGGGAATGCTCTTTATAGATAGGTAACGTGTTTCGTCTCACCCGTTGTTACTCAATGGCAATTCGTCGCTACGATTTGTCACTGTGGGATCTTCACAATTTCCATTGTAGCCGTTGTGCGGCGATGGACATAAGATAACTCGTCACAATATAGATGAATTCTTTAATTATAGGGATAAAATAACTCAATAATTGATTTTATCTGGATATATATATATATATATATTATCAAGTGTATATTTTAGATTTTTATATTTATATTGCTATATTGCCACGTTGTTGTAGTGTTAATTGAAAAATTGTAAAGGTATATTTTATTTTATGATACACCAAAAAATTCTATCCTTATGTGATCAATACAAAAGTCGAATGATCATGTACTTATAATATTCTCATTCAGATTGTATATGGAACTATAGATTAAATTATCAGGCATTGAAAAGTGACTTGTAAATTTTATATTTACATTATATCTTTTAGTATGAATTTATAATGAACCATACTTGTGTATATCATATATTGTTTCTGTTATATTGGACTGTTGTCTTTATCCTGGGTTCTATGACCTTGTAATGGATTTGTGGCATGTAAATAAATGAAATGTAAATGAAATGATAATGACTACTAATGACCAAAACATGTAGAGGGAGAACTTTTACTTACTTTGATTAAACAAGTTTCACTTCTACTACTTATTTATGTATTAAGAGATATAACAGTTCAAGAAGTGTCTTATAAAGTTTATTACTACGTTTTCAAGAGCACGTCACTGGTCCCTATCCTTAGCCAAATGAATCCAGTGCATGACCTCCCATCCCATTTCTGTAAGATACATTTTATAATCGTCCTAAGTACAGGTCTTCCAAGTTTCATTTTCCTTCAGGCTTTACAGTGAGCTTGCACGTTTGTCTGAAAAATAAAATTTTACTTTAAACAGCAAAATGGATATGAGGTTCTCACAGTGGTGACTGTGAATGTACAGCTTTTCCTGAACCATGTGTGTTGTAACCCAGAAAATGGTACTGTTACAAAATGAGTTTTAATATGTAAATACTTTCTTACTGAGATACAATATGTTGACATCTATTTTCTTTCCACCTTTTGCTTCTTAATTTAAGATGCAGTTAATTTAATTTAACTCTGGTGTTCACTAAGAACAGAGCGTCTACACATGGACTTTTAATGCGTTTCAAGTATGCAAATTATTTAAGAACCATAAAATTTATGTTTTAGATGAACCAAGCAACACACTATCTTGATGGATCCATGATATATGGTACAACTGATGAAAGGGCCTGGTCACTTAGAACTTTTTCAAATGGTCAGCTTTCTACAGAAACGAAGAATGGACAGGAATACCTGCCACAAGCTGACAAACCTTTGCAACAGTGTCAAGTGTCTTCCAACACATCTGCTTGCTACAAATCTGGTAACTTCATGAAACATGAGTTTGTTGTTCTGACACTGTGTTGCAAAAGAATCATCCTAGTTCTGACTATACTTTGGTTCTGTCTGTTACTAGGTGATATACGTGTGAATCTACACCCTCAACTTGTTATCATGCATACTCTCTGGCTCCGTGAACATAATCGCATAGCTGCAAAGCTAGCACTTTTGAACCCTCACTGGGATGATGAGACACTCTACCAAGAGGCACGGAGGATCGTCATTGCCGAGATTCAACACATCACATACAATGAATGGTTGCCTCTTGTGCTTGGTGAGTTCCAGATTCCAGTATCGAAAATCTTGAGTAGTTCAAAGAAAGTGATTTAGGGTTAAGAAGGAATTGGATATATGAAAAATGTGATATCCTTTTCAGGCTCAAAATATGCAAAGAAACTTGGATTGCAATTGAAGAAGACTGGATTCAGCAGTGATTTCGCTGAGGATGTGAATCCCAGCATTTCCAACAGCTTTGCCACAGCTGCTATGCGATTTAGAATGTCCATGATGGCTGGAACCATAGGGTAAGTAACATGCACTTTAAGCTGTTAAATCTGAATATTAACACACACAGTATTTATTCTGTGTAGATTATTATTCAGAGTAGGTGTAAAACTTCTCATCTGTCCTCACTATATAGCCTCGGCATGAACAGCATAGAAAACACCGTTTTGAACAATGCCTCTGCTTGTTGCATGCATATCCACTGTTGCAGAAATATGTTTACCAAAATGTTGCCTTGCAACAGACCATGTAATCATGTAACAGTATTTTGAAAGGGTATTTAATCTTGCTTTTACAGGCTGTTTGATGAAGATCGTAACACAAATAAAAGTCTCCAGTTGAAGGATAATTTTAACCAACCAGCAACCATTGAGGAACCAGAACATCTAGATTCTTTGGTACGTGGTCTAGCTACACAGAGAAGTCAGAAGAGAGGTTTATACTATGACAGTGATGTAAGTATTATTTCATATTAACATATGTTTTGTCCTATAATTAACAGACTGAAGCAGTACATAGTTTTAACTGTAGACATTTTGTACATATTGTTTGTTTTACTTTTTCCCATCAGTTAATACAAATGTTATACAAGACTAGTGGGCAATTTGGCATGGATATATTGAGCTTGGATATTCAACGAGGACGAGATCATGGGCTGCCAGGATATAATCACTATAGAAAACACTGTGGTCTTCCAGCAGCAAAGAGCTTTAATGGCTTCCTTGATGTCATGTCTAAGTCTGTGAGTAATGCACTTATTTTTAACATAACCCAGAGTATAATGTGATGAACATTTGCTAGGCAATGTAACATTGGTAAATTATAAAATCAGAATTATCAGAATTTTACATTTTAGATGACCTGAAGAGAAAATATTGCAATTCCTGGAATGGACATTATTCATGTTTTGAGTATTATATTTAAGCATCCTGTTGCACTCTATATGATATATGATATAGTAAAGATAAGCAGCGGCATGCACACAGGGAGACTACACAGAATAACACCTGTACAGTACTAGAAACAGGAAGAAGCCGCTGCAGCACTATAGACATAGGGCGAGTAACCCTGACAATTCTAAATTTTAAAATTTAGAGAAAAAATTTTAAAGGATTTAAAATTAGAACTGAAGATTTTATAAGTGCTAATTCAGAGAAATAAAAATTGACGTGGGTAAATAACAAAGATATCAACGAAATAGATTTTGGTAATAACAACGAAAGAAACAATCAGGAAGATCTCTGTTTTTAAATTTTAAATGTTTTTTATAAGTGCAGTGTAACAGATACGTGAGTGTATACACCTGATGATGGCCACCTGTGGCCGAAACATGTAGTGTGTAAAAAGAGCAAAACGAAAGACCTATAATATATAGTATACACTTAGGATGGAGTTATATCATATATCATGTTTTGAGGTTTTAATGGTGGTGAATGTGAAGAGTGTGGTCTTCTGGTTTGTGACACTATGTCATATTGTTCACATATACTAAAGTTTTGGAGAACATCAGTATCCATCAACAAGACTACACAGTATCACAGCTCAGAAGACCACAATTTTTCTGTTATTTATAAGTATGTGGTACATGGAAGGTATTATTTCTTATCACTGTCACTGGCTATGGTGAATGCTGTGTGATATACAGAGAAGTTAATATCATGTAAATTAATTCATAATGAATACTATTACAAGGCTTTTGTTATAATTTCTCTTTCTGACCCTCTCACAACCCTAGGGTGGTCCTGTTATTTCACAAAAGTTATTATTTGCTAGTTGGTTGAGGGGCTATGCTACAAGCTGGAAGGTCGTGGGTTGTAGTCCCGATGAGGTCATTGGATTTTTTCAGTTGACCTAATCCTTCCAGCTGCACTAGGCCCTGGGGTTAATTCAGCCTCTAACAGAAATGTGTACCAGGAATTAATTAAATAATTTTCCTGGGGAGTGAAGCACAGCCAGCGCGTAAAGCTGACAACCTTACCGCCACCTATGAGCTGATTGTCTAGATAATGTGGGACCCTCAACATCTCACAACCCTGTGGTCCTTCATGGCCTAGTACAGGGATAGCTTTACTTTACTTCTACATGAGAGACAATTGATACAGACTGGAGCCAATATGCGAAATCAGCCATGCTTTTATATACTGTACAATCCATTGAAATATCAAGAAGTTAGTTCATTCTGCAATATCTGGCACTAGGACATAGGAAGGAAATATTAATGCATTTAGTTCCTAAGGCAATACAAATTTACATGGAGTGTTTTAAACAGCGACACTCAGAGTTAATCATATATTAAATTACAAAGTGAACATACTGCAATTGAGATATCTCATTTTTCTTTATATAAAAAAGACTGCCTTATACATCGTAATACATAGAAACTTATTATTTCTTGAACAAAAAATATATTAGATGCTGTTATATGTATATTCATTTCAACTTATAAGTTAGCGTGTTCTGGCAACTTTTGTTATATACTTTTAGTTATTTGACTGTGTGCATATTACATGAACTGGAAATTCTGTTTGATCATATGAATGTCAATTAAGATGGAGAATTTCATACAGCTCTGCAGCATCTACTTCGTATTGTGAACAAAAATTTTAAAATTGAGAAGAAATTTCCAGTCTTTATGACCTGATTACATCCATACGGTCATGAAAATCACTGTCACAAACTGAATGGAAATTTGGGCCAGGTCTTTTTTAGAAACATCTTTATGAAAATTCCAACAAAGCAACGTCGCTACATACTGATCTTTGCACTTTACTAAGTATTAATTTTGTTGTATTAAAATTGTTATTTAACCTATATTACAGACAGTAGCCAAGCTGAAGAGTGTATATGCCCATCCAGATGATGTGGACCTTTTAATTGGTGGTATGTCTGAGCATGCCATAGATGACAGTGTGCTTGGTTTCACATTTCGCTGCATCATTGGAGAACAGATGCTCAGAACCAAGAAGGGGGACCGTTTCTTTTATGATGTACCCAACCAACAAAATTCTTTTACTGAAGGTAGGTAGTTAGTCAATTATTTACAAATATAACCGCTCCATTTACTCAGAATTTAATTTCTGATGCTGTCTTAATTGAAATCTTGTTCCAAATAACCACCTGTATAGACACTTCCCAGGAAATGTAAACAAAGGAGCATTTGCATCAAAGAAGCACACACATCTAAAAGATTCTTAAATCTTACCCATTTGTTCTTGCTGATTTTGACAGTGTTAAAGTTAATTACATAGAGATTGTTATAACTAAATAAATATTTGTGATGTGTGCAAGTATCAATTTGATGACCACATTTATCCACTTCATAAGAAGAGGCCAACGAAATGTTACTGTTAGTAACATACTGATGGAACTTCATTAATCTCTTCTGATAAACTCATTGTTGGTGATTGCTTTAATTCATGAAATCACTTGAAATACAGAGTGGCAGATAAGTTGATTTACTGAAATTTTGCTTATGTGTTAGTCTTTTCTGTATATTTTGGTTAGTTTTCTACTTAAAAGTTAATGTTTTTATTGTAAAGTATTATTGTGTTGACAGTTTTCCATATGACATGTGTCTTTCCTGTCAAATGCATAGACAACTAAAAAAAGAATGCAGATTTTGAAACTGCCAAAAATGATGGAAAACAAACAAGAATTATGTGCAGATATTTGTATCTTTTGTTGATAAATTCCTGACTATATGGTCAGGCGGGACTGATGGTACGCACCATTATCGGTAGGGTATAGAGACTGGTAGAATATCATAAGGGAAGCACAATGGACCAATACTGGTCTAAGTGCATGAGGAAACCTACCCTCTCCAATAACTAACTAACTACCTCGTTACAAGCTCTAAAGTAAGATGATACTAACAGATGAAATTTTTTGAACTGGAGTGTAATGTTCCAGGATTCCAGATGATTCTTTCATAATAAATAATTAAACTACAGTAAAGAATCAACAGGTCACCAAGCATGACAAGAAACTGAATGACGTTTTATAGGATCTAGTTCCTGGAATCAAGATTTGTTTTTAAAATTGTCTCTGATAAAAAATAATAATAATTTGTCTTTCTCTCTTCACAGCACAACTTGGTGAAATAAGAAAATCAACTTTGGCACGTGTCTTCTGTGACACTGCAGATGACATCAAAATGATGCAGCCAAATGCATTCATTGTGCCATCTGGAAGGTAAATTTCACAGTAAAGTTTATATTAAACTCTACTTGTAAAACACAGGCTCTTCTACATTCAGTTGGTGTAAATACATAAAAGAAACAGATTTTGTTTAATAAGAATTCAAAATTTTAACACAACCATAATTGTACTGAGGTTTTATTTACTATTTAGGTGCTTTAATAACCTTGGAAAATTTAACAGGTGGCATTATATTAAATTATAATTCTGTTTTTAAAAATTTGGATTGATATGAGGCAGGTGAATTTGCATACAAATGGTCCAGTATGAAAATTGGAGATAAACTAAATGTAATTTTGTTTTATTTATAGCAATGGCATGGTATCATGCAGCAACACCAATGGAATTAAACAACTAAGTCTTTCACCCTGGAAGCAAGCTCTGGTAAAAAGTTCATGATTGTCTCTGTCAGTACTGATTACTTTTCTCACAATATTGTAATTTCTAGTGACCATATATCATGACAAGTTTTCCACTGCCTACATATGCACTGTGTACTATCATACAAACTGTGGACAACTGCTAGTTGATTTGAGCCACATAATTAGGGTGCAGTTGTGCAAATAAAATAATTTAAATCTGAAGTGAGTGGCTTGGTGCTCTTATACAGTGGTAGATATTTGTACTGTCAATAATATTTATAGTAAAGCTCACCAATTTTTTTGTATTTTGGAGTGCTGGAGACACAATTTTTTGCCAGCCCTCAGTGTATAATGGCAAATAAAAAAAACACAAAATTACTGGGTTTTTGGACTTTTTCCATCGTCCGGAATTCTGGGTAATAGAGGACACGACATTTTGGAAACTGGATCTGTTTCCATGTTCAGGTGAGTTTCCTAAACGTTGTGTCCTCTATTACCTAGAATTCCGGATGATGGAAAAAGTCCAAAAACCCAGTAATTCTGTGTGTCATCCGCCATTGTCAGAACCCTTTAGGAAGAAAACTGTGGTTTGTATGGTCTATTATGTTAATGCTATCTACTAGAAAGAAATCTGAAAATGAAGCAATACATTTCACAGCTAAATTGTAAAATTTTTGGAAGAATGAGAGTGAACTTGATTTTCTAAAAAGTGAATGTGTAGATGGAATGGATATCCCAGGCAATAAGACTGCATAAATCTGTGAATCTTTAAGTAATGTATCTGTATTAATGTCACTTGGCATATTTCTTAACAAAATGTCAGGTGTTAAATTCCAGATTACAACTGGATCTAAACATTTACTGAAATGCAAAGTGGATATATTGTGAGTGCATTAATTTTTAAGCGATAATGGTAATGGCCGCACCATAGCTCAAGCAGTTAGTCGCTGGCTTCCCACTGCAGCGGCATGGGTTCGATCCAGTGTCTGGTCAAGTGGGATTTGTGGTGGACAAAGTGGTGTTGGGCCAGTTTTCTCTGAGTACTTTGGTTTCCCCTGCCAATCTTCATTCCACCAATTGCTCCACAATCACCCTCACCTATCTTTTGGGGCTGGTACAATAGGCCAGAAGTGGTCGCAGTACAAGGGACTTAGTCCCACCCCACTAGCGATAAAAAAAAATGGCGCTGGGGCGGGTTTTCTCCGAGTACTTCGGTTCCCCTGCCAATCTTCATTCCACCAAATTCTCCATCATCATAATCACCTGGGGCAGGTACAATAGGCCAATCTGTGGCCGCCATGCCGAGTGGACCCAGTTGGACTCCACCCCCCACTAAGCGAATTTAAAAAATTTTTAAAAAGCGATAATGATAACATATAGGGTTTACGTGAGCAAAGAATTTAACACTAGCAGAAGTTACTTCCACTGTATACATACATACCAGTGCTCATTACTGTAAATATTCTTCAATGAAATGTGCCATTTGGTCTTCTTATTTACATACTCAGGGTTTATAGATTAATAGATTAATGTTTCAGCTGATAGTGGAAATTTGGTATGTGGCACAATATAAGACAGAATACTTGCAGCAGAAATGAAGATGTGTGTTAGTCTGTTACATATGTACATACATACATTAATTACATTACATTACACACATATTACAATCCATGGCTCCAAAGTTAGTCTAAAATGGCCATGTGGAATAAGTCATAGTCACATACTTTCTCCCTTTCCTCAATCTTCAATTCATTACCTGTGTCACACCCCTCTATGAGGACTGTAATAAGAACAGGAATAATGAATGCTATAATGAATAAGTAATGCCATATAGAAAAGTGTCATAATAACTATTTAAGATACACATATTACAGGTTCCTGGTGAGATTTTTGATATGGCCAAGAAAATGTACGATACAAATATATATATGCAATTATCTGAATGCCGGTCACAGTAGCCAAGGGGTCTAAGGCATGTACTGTCTTCGCTCACTTGGAAACCAGGATCGTGGGTTCGAACCCCACTCAGGGCACGGATGTTTAGGTTGTGTGTGTGTGCGTTTTTCTGTGTTTGTGAACAGGTAGAGGCCTTGTGACGAGCTAATCACCCGCCCAAGAAGTCCTACCTAATGTGTAAGATCTAGAAAAAACCAAAGTGAACGGAGAAGTTCATGGAGGTAGGCCTAGGCCCACTGGGGCTATAGTGCCAAGGAAAAAAAATTATCTGAATGGCTGTTTTAAGCAATGTCTTTTGTGTGTTGTTAATGAGAGAGAAATTTTATACATGACCAAGAACAGTATTCCAAAAAGAGGACAAAGGTAACTGATCTTAATTGTTGATATTCTGTAAAGAAGTACCTTTTATAGCACTAGTGTTCTTCAATCTGTACTAAGTGTTTTATATTCAGAAGCTTAATACAGCATAAACTTTTTAAAAAGTCCACTGTAGCTAGTTAATGTGATATAACTTACAAATAAACATTATTCACCAAAGATGAGACATTTGTAAAATTTTTTTATTTATATATCTGTAACTAATAGGAACATGATTTGATGCACATAATGTTTAAGTCACTGTGAATAATATAATATGCAAGTATACCTGCAAGTTAATAAACATTGTGGATGTTCCAGCATTTTATTTTCGGGTCTTGTCTTTTTCTTCTCTCTTCACTTAATAGGTGTATATACCTGATCTCTCTCATTAATAATCATACTTTATTGTAACTGAAAGTTTGAGACAGGTGAATGATTTATTTATGTGCTCTTCTGCAGAATACATACATCACTGTTATGCAGAATTCATCATTGTACATATCAATTGTAACAAACATTATATTGTACTTATCTGCTTTACATGTATTGTTTTATAATAATTTTCATATGTATTAAAATGAAAAATGTATCTATTTTTACAAGTTCATAAGAGTGTTTTATTTCATACCTGTAGGAACCATTACAAAGATTTCACATCAGCATGTTTCTTATTTCCATGAGTAAGGTAAAGTTTTCCCTGTGCTTAACTAATTAAGCATTACACCTTTAAGGTACAATGAAAAAAAAGATTAGTCTGAAAACAAGCTGGAACTGATGTTAAAAGTGTGCCAGTTCATGGCTGAAATTTCTTAGAGAAATAGCATTATCAGAGAAAGTGCTGTACATAATTTCTCAAGTTATGTTTTACTTTAGCAGTTGCAAAAGTGTTCTATATTTTAATCACATAAGAGAAATCTATACAACTGATCTGAAAGTCAGTATTGTTTCTCCAGAGATACCAAAAGAAATTATTAGCCTAATTAATGAAATGAATGAGCACAGCTTCTAATCACAGCCTTTTGTCAGATACCATTCGCTTTGAACTCTTAGAAATATATCACAGTTAGAACATGTTCAGCATGAAGCTGAATGAAGAGTGAATAAACATAACTTAAAGAAGAGAGATTTATTACTGCTCAATACGAATACAAACAAACTCCGTGGTTTTAGTCCTCAAGCAAAATATACCAACCGAGCGACTGCCACTTGTCGGCGAAGTTAGTGCCAACGTTAGTAGATAGGGGGTGTCGCGTGATCAGCACAATGAATCCCCACGGCTGTTAACTTCGGTTTTCTAGACTGAAGCTGCTATTTCCTTGAAACAGCTCCTCAATTATCCTCACGATGCTGATTGGACCCCATTCCAGACCCACTACTTCTCAGAAAATCTGGTAGCGGCGGGAATAGAACTCGGACCTCTGGATCTGTAGCCAGGAACTCTGACCACTAGACCACAAAGGCGGTCTTTGATTAATTTTTTTTAAATGCTAGTGGGGTGGAACTAACTCCCTTGTACTGCAGCCACTTCTGGCCTATTGTACCAGCCCCAGATGATAGGTGAGGGTGATAGTGGACCAATTGGTGGAATGAAGATTGGCAGGGGAAACCGAAGTCCTCGGAGAAAACCTGCCCCAGCGCCACTTTGTCCACCACAAATCCCACTTGACCAGACACGGGATCGAACCCGGTACGCCGCGGTGGGAAGCCAGCGACTAACCGCTTGAGTTATGGCGCGGCCCTTGGTCTTTGATGAAATTTCACATAGTAAATCTAAAATGATATTTACCAGGCATTTTTGTTTTTTTTAACTTTGATCTTATTTAAGTACCGGTATATCTGTGAGCCTAATAGACATTTAATGCTTTTTTTTTTATAAAATTTGATATGCAATATTTCAATCATTCAAATGTTATTGCATGTAAATTATATTAATTTTGAACTTATTTTAAATTACTCATAATTTTATGGACTTAAATAGGTCCTCAAGGAACCCTGGGCTTGAAAACGTCGAGATTATGTTTAGAGCAGTTAAATTATAACCAAGTGTACCATATTCTGGGCTATAACGCCATGTAGTCCGTTGGAAGCCAACCAAAGTTTCGGAAGAACATCGCCTTCATCTTCAGGGTTGAAGAATAAGCCGAATAAGAAATCAGCAGAGCTTGCCCTCTGTTTTCACACTGCTTTCTTGCTCGGCTTAATTTTCTACCATGAAGATGGAAGCAATATGTTTCTCCGAAACGTCGGTTGACTTTCAACGGACTACACGGCGTTAAATCCTGGAAGATGGGCACTCTTCATAATCACCGCCGCGGGAACCTAAATTATAACCAGTTTCCTAAGTAAACAGAATATGAACGACTTGAAGAGTAGGTCTATGGTGTATTTATTCTGTAATAATTAACATTTATTGTCTCGTCTGATAACAATTCGTGGGATAAACAACACACTGAGTATGCATAACTTGGGAAACACGTCATATCTTTCCCATAGCAATAACGTTCTAGGTTTGTAATCTAAGGGTACCACTTCGAATTTCGTCCTGGTAACCGAATATGCTCGGACGAGTATTTACTGTGTTTCCTTGGCCGCGCCATAGCTCAAGCGGTTAGTCGCTGGCTTCCCACCGCGGCGGCCCGGGTTCGATCCCGGGCCTGGACAAGTGGGATTTGTGGTGGACAAAGTGAGGCTGGGGCAGGTTTTCTCCGAGTACTTCGGTTTCCCCTACCAATATTCGTTCCACCAATTGCTCCACAATGACCCTCACCTATCATCTGGGGCTGGTACAATAGGCCAGAAGTGGCCCCAGTACAAGGGACTTAGTCCCACCCCACTAGCAATAAAAAAAATAATATTATGTTTCCTTCCCCGTCATCGAATACCCGGCTAGTACCGTGGTATATAGGCCTCTAACGGTCTTCTTCCAAGTCTTCACCTATTCACTATCGACGACTACCTTCTCCAGCTCACTCAACGTTATATAACACATGCAGTTGAAACAACCATCAAATAAAATAATCCGCTAAATAGCAGAAAACACAATTTCAAGAGATGGCTGACTGGGTAATAGATTCATTGTCAGAATAATGGACAATTATTCACATTATTTTCTTTTATAAATGGCACTCGTTACGCCTTTTTACTATGGTCGAAGAAATGGAGCCTTGGAGGAGAGAGACACTTTCACGGATATCTAACTTTTTGCGGGAGGAACCCGAAGACTAGCGAACCGTTTCATCTGCACACTTGTCTCAAACACGCGCGTCGAAACGGGAAATAAATAACCTTCAAGTGAAAGTGAAGACGGTACGTGGAATTGCGCCAATGATCTGACAGCGCATAGCTAAATTACACTTGGTTATGGTTCACGTCGTGGTGTATTGCAGTAGACTGGTTAAATATTGGGGAATTTACCGGCTCTTTTTCAATTGCACAGGTTATTCAGCGTTTAACGAGATGGCACGAACTATAAGTAAACAGGAATTTGAAGTGAGGCGGTTGTGTCTTGCGTGAAGCTGTAGCAATCGGCTGGAAAAACTGGTAAACTCCAGGAATATTTTCGGTCCTAGTAGCCAAGTACCCAGAGCGAGATCTGGGCTGTTACAACTAAGCCTGTATAGACTTCATCGGTTATTATAGCGGGATGCGTTGCCCAAACTCCCTGAGAGATCCGTAGTCAGGCTTGCGTCCCAGGGGCGCGGATTCATGGTTGTGAGAATAATGATGAACAAAGCTGTGTTAGGAGATATGTATTGGTAGTACCCCCACTTCCTCTATTTTTTTATAAGAATGTAAGCCAACAACATTTCTAATACTTGAGACATTTGAAATAATAATAATAATAATAAACATTGTAACGCGGATGAAATGTGAATCGTGGAAACCTGATTGTCCAAAATTTCAACAGCATTTCTAGGATGGCCGGTCACGGTAGCTGAGCGGTTTAAGGCCTGCACTGTCTTCGCTCGCTCGGAAGCCGGGATCGTGGGTTTGAATCCCACCCAGGGCATGGATGGTTGGTGTTTGTGTATTTGCGTTTTTCTGTGTTTGTGTAAAATAGGGGCCTTACGATGAGCTGATCACCCTCCCAAGGAGTCCTACTGAATATCTAAGATCTAGTAAACCGAAGTGAAACGGAAAGTTTCATTGAGGTAGCCCAAGGTCCAAATTAGGGCTGTGGCGCCAAAAGAAAAATATCTAGGGAATAATTAGCAGCAACTGATCAGCTTCATTATCAAGAGTTAACTCTCAGAAACCTGCACTTGTTTGTTCAATTCTATATATTCGTAATTATTAAGTGAGCATATTTACATAGCTGAAATATTAATACGTATTGGCACTAGTGACGTTTTGTCGGGCCAAGAAAATCGCCGACCTAGAATATTTTTGAAATGGATTTTGAAGAAATGTTGTGGAACTATAGACTAAAGCTGACGGTAGCCTATACATTTCGCTGCCCAGTGGGTTAGATAAGAAGCGGTATGGCTAGACGTACAGTTGTGGGGGAACCCGGGACAATAGGAATGTGGAGGCCCATATCAGTAAAAACAGAAATAGGTTGTGACAATTTTTTATCTTATTTATCATAATAACTACAAATATAAACTAAGTTTTGTCATTTTAGAGAAACAAATGCCTCAATGAAATATGGGGATGATATTCTTGCCTTGTGGAGAACCCAAGGCGACCGCCTCTGTCTCTCCCCCTTAATTCGGCCCAGAGAAACGATCAATAGACAATGTGGGTAATAATCTGTGGTTCTTTGGGTGTGATGTGTAACCCTGATGAAGCCGATCCGGTAACATTTTTTTTCTCTTTGGCGCTACAACCCCTATTTTGACTTTGGGCTACCTCCATGAAACTCTCCGTTTCACTTCGGTTTTACTAGATCTTAGACATTCGGTAGGACTTCTTTGGCGGGTGATCAGCTAGTCGCAAAGTCTCTACCTGTACATAAACGCAGAAAAACGCACACACATCCACACAAACACTAAACATCCATGCCTTGAGTTGGATTCGAAGCCACGATCCCGGCTTCCGAGCGAACGAAGACAGTGCATGACTTAGACCTCTCGGCTGCCGTGACCGGCCCCGGCAACATTTATTTTAAGCTAATCATCACTGGCTGCAAAACTTTGCGTGAAGGAAGAGGCCTAAGTAGGCTCAGTGGGTCATTTGTCAGGATGGCATGGCGCGTCCTTAGATATCGGCTGGAGGAAGTGACTAACAGATATGGAGGTTAGTTACGAATATATTGAATAAGCAGTGGTGGACAGCCGAGAAGAGACTGTCCTCAAATTAAACGTTTCTTGCAGTGTGATCAAAATTCACAACTCATTGTGTTATTACTCGTATGAACCTCGAAATAGCGGACTAGTTATGCTTTAAGAAATATCTTACAAATGTTTTGATCGATTCTTAACATCTCGTCATGATCAGATGGAGGCAAGCTGTTGTCTTCTTCGAGGTACTCATACTTCACTTGCACTTTTAAGAATACGCGTGACAAATGTTTTAGACTACTAGACCGAAATTCGTCATGACGTAATCGGAAGCTGTGTTGAAATCTTTCCGCTTGAGCGTTTTAAAAACGCTAACCTCCTTTTACCAGTTCGTCATCAACACGCTATTGGGGGTACATTTCCTTTTTACACCAGTAGCATCTGTCACATCAGTGTGTTTTAAGATTTGAGGTTTCCACGGCGGTAACTATGAAGAATGCTGTCTTCTGGGATGTGGAGCCGTGTAGATCTTATGTAAACCGACGTTTCGGAGGAACATATAGCCTCCATCTTCAGGGTAGAAAAATCGGCGAGCGAGAAACCAGCGTGAACAGGTGGATGCAGACTGCAGTTCCTCCGAAACGTCGGTTTACACAAGATCTACACGGTGCTACATCCCAGAAGACGGCATTCTTCTCAGTGTGTTTCAACTTCACCTGTCATGTGCCCACTTCCGTTAATAAAATGCTCGTAGAAAGTATGGAAAAACTGGAATTCAGAACTTTCTGTAACTGTATAGAGAAGACACTGATATGTTGGGTTTTTGGACTTTATCCATCGTCCTGGTTTTTAAGGTAACAAATAAAAACACGACGTTTCGGAAACTGGATCTGTTTCCGTCCTCAGGTGAAGGAAAAACACCTATTCAGTTGGGTCCATTAGAAAGAGCTAGCCTCAACCACTGGGTCCAGTGATTGAGGCTAGCTCTTTCTAATGGACCCAACTGAATAGGTGTTTTTCCTTCACCTGAGGACGGAAACAGATCCAGTTTCCGAAACGTCGTGTTTTTATTTGTTACCTTAAAAACCAGGACGATGGATAAAGTCCAAAAACCCAACATATCAGTGTCTTCTCTATACAGTTACAGAAANACCCAGCCTACTGTCGAATGGGTACCGGATGCACTTCGTGTGTAGCTAACCACTCCCTTCCATACTCCTTCATACATCTTCATAGCGTGGTGCTTTGTTAAGCACAGACACAACTTTACACTTAAGAGATTTTGGGATTTTCACGGCTTTGAATATTACAGTTGCAATATTTTTTAATGTGATTCTATGTCATCTTCAGGTCCGGATTTAAAAGGCAGCGACTGGGAACGGTCGCCTCGGAGCCTCCATAAAACAGAAATAGAATCCATGGATCTTACTGAGACATTTGCATATCTAAAATCACGAACATTTAGTTTGTATTTTCAGTCAGTATTAGAAACAGGAAAACAAAAAGAATTGTCATAACCTATACTCGTTCTTGTTGTTTGATTGCCTCGGTGCTCCCACAGCTCTCAGTCCGACCCTGGTAGTATGCTAGAAGGTCACCAACGTTCCAGAGGAACCCACTACTTTAGTCTCCTACCGCGAAGACGTCATCCCAGAAGACCGCATTCTATACTTCAACATTTGCACAGATTCAGAAAATAAGGAAATATTGAAAATTGAGAAAACAAATTGACTTTCTTGGCAAAGCTACACTAAATAGCAATGATGCTGCGTGAAATTATGGTAACAGTTCGCTACACGCGCTTGTTGCAGATAACACTAATTCTAACAGTAAGCGGATTTGCTAGTAGCAGTCTCTGTGGCGTTAACCGCCTTCTTCATGAAAATGTGCCTATTTGGAAGAGCTCCATAGCACTTGTATTTTTTATTTTTTGGCGTTGAACATTAAGATATTATGACCGAACTGTAAATACGCCGAGCACCTAGTAGTTAAATAAAAGAGCAACGATTCAAACTGTTACTACGTTATAATTATACTGGTTGTGGTATCAGCTTTAATTATAGTGTCGACATTACAAGTAAGCTCAATAGATGTCAGTGTATGCTCGGTATCACACAGCGCACATAGGAAAGAAAATAAAAAACCCACACACGCTTAACAAAACAGTGCCAAAAATAGTAAGAATGATGCAATTAGGTAGGAGGAGACTAATTACACTTCGGTGAGACTAAATTTCTAAAGCCGGCTATAAAAAAATGGTTAAAATGAAAAACGAAGACGTCACTTACTGCAAGGAGGGCCGCGCCATAGCTCAAGCGGCTAGTCGCTGGCTTCCCACCGCGGCGGCCCGGGCTCNGGTTTCCCCTGCCAATCTTCATTCCACCAATTGCTTCACAATCACCCTCACCTATCATTTGGGGCTGGTACAATAGGCCAGAAGTGGCAGCAGTACAAGGGACTTAGTCCCACCCCACTAGCATTAAAAAAAGAAAATTAATAATACTGCAAGACACTGCTTAAATTATAGACACAATACTGATATTAAGAGAGCCGCAAACATTGAATTGCTTTAAGTTGCATTCCTAGACCCCAAGCGACCGCCGCATATTTGCTGAAATTGTAGTAAAGGTCTTCAATGTAAAATCCCATTGAACTGAGCAAGGAGTTCATGGACTGAATTTCACAAGAAGCGGTCACGCAGTGACCATGGTGACCATAATACAGTATATGTGTGACGTATGGGCTGCGTGCCGTGTGTCCTGCCTGCTATCAAGACACAGAACCTATGGGATGCATCATCAGACATGGCCTGGTCTGCTTAGAGTCACGTTCAAGCGAAGTGGAATGGAAAGAAAAAGAAGTTGAAAGCAAACACATTTAAGATTAACCGATCAAAATCCTTTAGAATCCCTGCATCATATATCTGAGAAACAGTGGTGATATCGAAAGGGCTTTATATTCACGAGGTCCCGCGTTCAATCTCAGTTAATGACACTGTCGGTATCGAGACTACGAATATATATAGTGCCAATTACGGGATAATTAATGAATATGGAGTAGTTTGTGGAATGAGAAATGGTAGGAGAAACATCAGTATTAGGACAAAGCCTACTCCGATGTCACTTTGTGCCTCACAAATCCCATCGAACCCGGGCCGCCGCTCTAGAAAACCTGCTACTAACCGTTTGAGCCATGGAACGGCCCCATCGGAGACGAATTATAGCCTACTGATTGAGCTTCTCTTGGTTTTCCTTAGATTCTCCAAGTAAAGGCTGGGCAGTACTTCAACTTAGATAGTGATGGCTTCAGTTCGTAACCCTGTGGACTGATTGTTCACTAATAATCATTTGATGATATATAATCTGAGCTACTGGAAGCTACGTTTAATAAAAGAGTAAATGAATGTAACACCGAAGATGATAACAGCAAAAAGGAACAGGATTAAACACTCATAGTTAAAGCCTCCATGATGGTAATACGGTGCCTTGAAATGCACGTAATGACCATGTCATGTCAAGTCTCAAACCCGGAAGAAGAGGTCTTCCCTTTTCCTTGTTAAATTAAATGTTCATGCTACATGCTCAGTATCTGTTATTAATTCATTTACTTACTTATAACGAAGCACTGGGGCTGAACTGCGACAGGAGTTTGGGTATTAAACCTGAAAAAAGGAAGTTGCATTATAACATCGCGGATTTCAGTAGAAGGCATTAGGTAACATGTGGTAATGTAGTTATGAAGTTAAACTGTAGAATATTCAGTGGACAGGTACATAACAAGCAGTCGGGTCATAGCTATGGTGAAATGCTGACCATGTCGAATTATTCTTTATAAAAAGAGTAAGTGGGTCATACCACTTTGATTTAGAGAGTTTCGGAAACACAGATGTAACAGCAATGTGAAGGAAGATCCGCAAGCGAAGAGACCGCGAGAACCGGTACAAGCAGACTGTGGATTTATTTTCCTTCTACCCTGAAGATGGAGGCGATACGTTCCTCCGAAACGTCGGTTAACACCACATCTACACGGTCCCACATCCCAGAAGACTGCTTTCTTCACAGTCACCGCCGTGAAAACCTCAAATCTTACAAATTAGAATATGTCCGTACAGACCAGTTCCGTAAAATTGTGTCAGAGAGACCTAATCTGAAACAAAAAGGATAACCTAAGCGGACACTTGATACATATGACCCCAAACTGAGTAACATCAGAGGTTACATCCCTCTTTCACGTTTCAATTCTTTTTATATACATTAATTTAGAATGCGCAGTGTATGTGCTACTTCTGTGATCCAAATTTCCGACCCATGTACCGAATAAGAGTATTTGTTTCACGACGTTCGTAAATATGCAGAATTGGGTTCTTCCCCCACCCACTATATTTTCTTCTGACCTGATTGTCACCATAGCAATGAGTCTTTTGACGTTTAGGCAGTGGTTGGTAGCAGCTTATATTACCAAAATAACTGATGTTGGCAGCAATGTGGATATTGTCTAGAATTTTCCTTCCATAGACTTGGTCAGGCGCTGCATCTTTGCCCTAATATTTAGAAAACTGTGTCAGTAAAATTATTTGCAGACCTACTTTTATTTGACCAGTTGTAGTGACTTGATTCGTTGCATTTGAAGTGTACTAAATAAAGACTAATCATACTGTAATAGGAGGCTTGAGACAATGCATGCTGAGAAGCGGTATAATTTGTATAATTTGGAGTCCTCACCAAGTACTACTAGAATGACCAAGGCAAGGTGGGGGAGAGAGAGAGAATACACAAGATGCAGGGAGAGGAGTGCGTATATAAAATAGATCTTAAAGGAACAGAATGGGGTAGTGTAGACTGGATTAGTCTAGCTCAGTACAAGGACCAATGGCGTAATCTTGTGAAAACTTTAGGTTTCCATACAATGTTGGGAATTCAATATGTGGCAGAGCAGCTGTTGGCTTCTCAGGAAGGACTTGACTCCATGCAATTAGCTAGTTAGTATAATTCAGTCAAATGTTGGAGATTTCGCAAA